AAACATTGGGGTGCACATACCCCTTCGGGTCCCCACATTTGTATCTTTGGGGTAAATACCCAGTAGTGCAATTGCTGGATCGTATGGTAGCTCTATTTTCAACTGTTTGAGGAACCTCCATATTGTTTTCCAGAGGGGTTGCACCAGCTTGCATTCCCACCAACAGTGTAGGAGGCTTCCCCTTTCTCCGCATCCCCGCCAACATCTGTCGTTTCCTGACTTGTTAATTTTAGCCATTCTGACTGGTGCGAAGTGGTATCTCATTGAGCTTTTGATTTGGATTTCCCTGATGCCGAGTGATGTTGGCACTTTTTCATGTGTCTGTTGGCCAAAATAAATGATATCTTTTAAAAAAATAAATGGAAAGTCCTCATACTTTATGATAATCTCCTTATAATAATGACCTTATGACTATAGGAGTCAATTCAATTATCTAGTGAACTGGAAGATGACAAAAGCACACCTGAACTGACAACAAACTTTGGTTTCTCTTGGAAAGTGCCAAAAGCACCTGTCTTTCCATTATATAGATAACTGCAGTGGATTTTCTCTCATTCCATCATCAGATATTTTTTGTATTTATCAACAGGAAGATCTATTACCAACACTTCAATATTTTCATTTGGGGATATCTCCTGTCTGTGTACCTGAACAGTTCCCCTTCTCCACCACCAATCTGCCAAGATCTTCTTGAGGGAAACACAGATGTGAGGCTATGGGCTCGGCAAAGAGGCCGTGGTGGTGATGAAGCTCAGAAGGAGATTTGGAGTTGTCCATCTTCCTTGTCCACTCAATACAATCCCACCCCCCCTTCCCTCTCAGCTTTTCAGAGCTAATGCATAGCATGACCATTGAAAACAAACAGACTTAGAGAAATATCGGAGTCCTGAAACTTTTCCAGCATATTTTGAATAGAAATAATCTTGACTCTAGTCAGTAGCAGACAAGCTAATTATTTGTTCACATGTGTTTTTGCCAGTTTTTGGCTCATTTGGGGGCTTGTAATAATTTTGGAGTTTGTCCTTCGTGAGTTGAAACCTGAGTGTATTTTTTCTGCTAGTTCCATGTTTTAAGGCATTTTGGGATAAGTTTTGTAATCATGTGGGAATTAGAGGTCAAAACAGGAAATAAGCATTTTGGAGCAGGTCAATTCTTTCCTAGGCTACATAGAAAGCATTTATCTCTTGAAGGCTTATCTTACTAGGAGAGAAAGTCTTGATTTAAGGAGATGCCACCACAGAGAAGAGAGGCTTGTAAGAGAGGCTCGTAAGAGAAAGCTCTTCTGATAACAGTATTTTTGTTCTCGTGAACAGTGGTTCAAGTCAAGTGTGAAGTGTTAAGACTGTGAAGGTTGGTGTGGTACCAAACGTCGGGCGTGGGAACTACATACATGCATTTACAGCAACACTAATTTCCCACTTAAGGTTTGTTAGCAACTATTAGAGGTTTTATAATTCTGTTGACAATAATCTTTCTTGGAAGATGACCTGCTTTATATAAAAATAATTTTTTTTGTGAAAGGTCTCATTAGTTTAAAAGCCTAGTCAAATGGTAGCTTTAAAAGCTGAGTCACAGTCTAATTTACTATCACAATTCAGTTTCCCTCTTTATTTTACTTGGTAGAGTAACCTTTTCTCAGCAGTGCCATTAGGTGCCTGCCTTCATGGTGTGGAAAAATACACACATACATCTGAGATTTTTGAGCATGTGGGTTGTGATGAATTTAAATGTGTTCTAATGGTGCAACTGCATATAAACAGCTGAAGATTTATACTTGTTTTTTAACTTAAGGATGAGGAAATTGACTACTATGGGATAATTAAAAATAACAACTCTCTGGAAAAGCAAGAGCTAAATTGTTAAATGCCAGGGCATCAAGAAGCAATATTCTGTAATCTATACAGAATTCTTTTTTATTCTGTAAATAAATTGGGTAATATATATCTTTGTCACTTGAAGATCAGATATATATTTGAGTTAATGAATCATCCCACCAACATTCCATAACTAAAGCAAATTTTGTTTTCTTTTCACGGGTAAGGTTTTAGTCAATTGAATAATAAATCATCCTGCCTTTTCCTGAATCACAGGATAAGGAAGCTCTTATAGGCAGGATCACAATTAAATAAGGCCTTAGGGGAGACAGTCTACCCTGTTTTAAAAGAATGCCAGTGAAGGAGACAGCCCAGACCACTTTGGTCATACTTCTCAGGGCTTAAAATAGCAATATCATGTGTCTGTTTTAAAATATTTTCTGTTTATCGCTGAAGATTTGTCTTAAATGCTCAGAGGTCAAGAATGAATCAACTTCTTGATAACCCCCAATATCCTGGTCAAGTCCTGCAGTGACCAGGTATATGAAGAAATGTACTTCTTTCAAAAAGAGTAACCTTATAAGCATTTACAGTTTACAAAGAATATTCACAAACACTTTTTCTTTTGAGTCTCTCAGCAACACTATTATATAAAAGAATTATTGATTCCTATTGAGAAGCAGAAATTAAGATTCAGAGAGGCTAAGTGACTTACCCAAGGTCATAGATCTACTGAACGGAATAATCACAGCTTGAGACTAGTTAGTTTTGTATAAGGACATTGCCTTTTGCATTCCACACTTCGCTGACTCTTTGACATGCTTATAAAATCAGGCACTGTAAACATGCCTTAAGGTGTGTTTGGGAAATTTGTTCCTGGGAGAATTATCTGAGTCGATGATCTGGTTGTGAGCATTATTAACTTTAATCTATGGTCTGAACAGAAGGAAGTATAAAAAAATATCCAGTTTTAAGTGGCATTGGTCAGATGTTCAGTGTAAATGAATTAGAAGTGATTGAAATAGCGGACAATTTGGGACTAAGTTGACATCTATTATCTTATGAATATAAGGACCAGACCTGTAATTTGAGAAAGACAGTACACCTAAGATACACCTAAGATACACCTAGATACACCTAAGAAGGAAATAGTCTAGATACACCTAAGAAGGAAATACACCTAAGAAGGAAATAGTCACAAGGAATAATTAACCTGCTTAAGGCACACTAATCTGAACAGAGAAGGTCTAATGCCCTGTTAACACTGTTGTTCAGCAAAGGGCGAAGTGGGCTGAGGACACAGATTCTGTGAGAGTAAGATCCAATGACACTTAAAGAGAGGGGGAAAAGGTGAGGTGCAAGTGTTCTCTGTGAAATTCTATGGCAGACAGCTTGGAAATGTAATTTACATTGGGAGAACATTAAAAGTTAGTGGAACCATTTAGATTTCTGTTTGGTTCTATGCTGTGGCTGCTAATAGCATTATACCGAAATGTGGGTATTGATTCTCATAAAGTTCATCCAAACTGTTTACCTTAGTCTGAAAATTTGCTCTAGTTAGAGTCATTTGTCTGTTGTTAGCTCTCAGTCTGACTTTCAAGACACTTACATTCTTCAAAATAGTCTGAGGAAAAAAAGTGACTTTTAGTTAAGGTTTATTGCCAGCCCTTTTTTTTTTAAATTGTTTTTATTAACATATAATGTATTATTTGTTTCAGGGGTACAGGTCTGTGATTCATCAGTCTTACACAATTCACAGTGCTCACCATAGCACATACCATCCCCAGTGTGCATCACCCAGCCACCCCATCCCTCCCACCCCCCTCCACTCCAGCAACCCTCAGTTTGTTTCCTGAGATTAAGAGTCTCTTATGGTTTGTCTCCCTCTCTGGTTTTGTCTTGTTTAATTTTTCCCTCCCTTCCCCTATGATCCTCTGTCTTGTTTCTCAAATTCCTCATGTCAGTGAGATCATATGATACTTGTCTTTCTCTGATTGACTTATTTTGCTTAGCATAATACCCTCTAGTTCCATCCACGTTGTTGCAAATTTCATCTTTTTGATGGCTGTATAATATTCCATTGTGTGTGTGTGTGTGTGTGTGTGTGTGTGTGTGTGTGTGTGTGTGTATACCACATCTTTGTCCATTCATCTGTTGATGGACATCTAGGCTCTTTCCATAGTTTCGCCATTGTGGACATTGCTGCTATAAACATTGGGGCGCACATGCCCCTTCAGATCACTACATTTGTATCTTTGGGGTAAATACCCAGTAGTGCAATTGCTGAGTTGTAGGGTAACTCTATTTTCAACTTTTTGAGGAACTTCCATACTGTTTTCCAGAGTGGTTGCACCAGCTTGCATTACCACCAACAGTAGTAGGGTTCCCCTTTCTCCGCATCCTCCCCAACATCTGTCATTTCCTGACTTGTTAATTTTAGCCATTCTGACTGGTGTGATGTGGTATCTCATTGAGGTTTTGATTTGTATTTCCCTGATGCCAAGGGATGTTTAGCACTTTTTCATGTGTTTGTTGGCCATTTGGATGTCTTCTTTGCAGAAATGTCTGTTCATGTCTTCTGCCCATTTCTTGATTGGATTATTTGTTCTTTGGGTGTTGATTTGATAAATTCTTTATAGATTTTTAGATACTAGCCCTTTATCTGATATGTCATTTGCAAATATCTTCTCCCATTCTGTCTATTGTCTATTGCCAGTCCTTTTTGATGTAAAGCATATGAAGGCAAAAATCTTTTATTTGGACTAGTTTTAAGTTTAAAACTTGAACTGTTGCTTAGTATAAATGAGGAAAACTTTTTAAAGAAATCCAGCATTATTTCTTTCACATATCTGTAGGGATTTGAGCTAGGTTGTTAAAGTACCAACATGTAGAGGTTCTTAGGAAATCTGCTTTAATGAACAGATGAGTGATTTGTAGTTAACTTAATAGTTTATTTTATTTCAAAGAACATGAGGCATTTGAAAAATAAGTTTTTTTTTCTGAACCTAATAATATCAATTTTCTCAGCAATTCTTTTTCTGGAACAGTGAAAATGTGAATTTTAAGCTAGCTTCTAGGTCCAAATAATTATAATATCTGAGTGGAGTCTGAGGAGTTCATAGAGTGTTATCAAATTTGTCTTTTTTCTAAGGAAAATTGATTCATTATTTTCAAATTATTTTACAGGATCCTTCAAACCAAAAATGTGGTGGAAGAAAGAAAACAGTGTCTTTCAGCAGCATGCCATCGGAAAAGAAAATTAGCAGTGCGAGTGACTGCATCAGCTTCATGCAAGCTGGCTGTGAATTGAAGAAGGTCCGGCCAAATTCTCGTATTTATAACCGTTTTTTCACTCTGGACACAGACCTCCAAGCTCTTCGCTGGGAACCTTCCAAGAAAGACCTTGAGAAAGCTAAGCTTGACATTTCTGCTATAAAAGAGATCAGATTGGGGAAGAACACAGAAACATTTAGAAACAATGGCCTCGCTGACCAGATTTGTGAGGACTGTGCCTTTTCTATACTCCATGGGGAAAATTATGAGTCTCTGGACCTAGTTGCCAATTCAGCAGATGTAGCAAATATCTGGGTGTCAGGTTTACGGTACCTGGTTTCTCGAAGTAAGCAACCCCTTGACTTTATGGAGGGCAACCAGAACACACCAAGGTTCATGTGGTTGAAAACAGTGTTTGAAGCGGCAGATGTTGATGGGAATGGGATTATGTTGGAAGACACCTCTGTAGAGTTGATAAAACAACTCAACCCTACCTTGAAGGAATCCAAGATCAGGTTAAAGTTTAAAGAAATCCAGAAGAGCAAAGAAAAACTAACTACACGAGTGACGGAAGAGGAATTTTGTGAGGCTTTTTGTGAACTTTGCACCAGGCCAGAAGTCTATTTCTTACTGGTCCAGATATCTAAGAACAAAGAATATTTGGATGCCAATGATCTCATGCTCTTTTTAGAAGCTGAGCAAGGAGTCACCCATATTACTGAGGATATGTGCTTAGACATTATTCGGAGATATGAACTTTCCGAAGAGGGTCGTCAAAAAGGGTTTCTTGCAATTGATGGCTTTACCCAGTATCTGTTGTCACCAGAATGTGACATTTTTGATCCTGAGCAAAAAAAGGTTGCCCAAGATATGACCCAGCCACTATCTCACTACTACATCAATGCTTCGCACAACACCTATCTCATAGAAGACCAGTTCAGGGGGCCAGCTGATATTAATGGGTACGTTAGAGCTTTGAAAATGGGCTGTCGAAGCATTGAACTTGATGTTAGTGATGGTTCAGACAATGAGCCAATCCTTTGTAATCGAAATAATGTGACGACACATCTTTCTTTTAGAAGTGTCATAGAGGTGATAAATAAATTTGCCTTCATTGCTTCTGAATACCCACTCATTCTTTGCCTGGGAAATCACTGCTCCCTACCACAGCAAAAGATAATGGCTCAACAGATGAAAAAGGTTTTTGGCGATAAGCTCTATACTGAGGCACCTTTGCCATCAGAAACCTACCTCCCATCACCGGAAAAATTGAAAAGAATGATTGTTGTGAAAGGAAAGAAATTGCCTTCTGACCCAGATGTTTTGGAAGGAGAAGTAACAGATGAAGATGAAGAAGCAGAAATGTCTCGAAGGCTGTCGGTAGATTACAATGGCGAGCAGAAACAAATCTTGCTGTGTAGGGAACTCTCCGATTTGGTATCCATCTGCAAGTCTGTTCAGTATAGGGATTTTGAACTGTCTATGAAAAGCCAAAACTATTGGGAAATGTGTTCATTTAGCGAAACAGAGGCCAGCCGAATTGCAAATGAGTACCCAGAGGATTTTGTAAATTATAATAAGAGATTCTTATCGAGAATCTATCCAAGTGCTATGAGGATCGATTCCAGTAACTTGAATCCACAGGACTTTTGGAATTGTGGCTGTCAGATTGTGGCAATGAATTTTCAGACTCCAGGTCCAATGATGGACCTTCACACAGGCTGGTTTCTTCAAAACGGAGGCTGTGGTTATGTTCTAAGGCCATCCATCATGCGAGATGAAGTTTCTTACTTCAGTGCAAACACAAAGGGCATCGTACCTGGGGTGTCTCCTCTTGCTCTTCATATCAAGATCATCAGTGGTCAGAATTTTCCAAAGCCCAAAGGAGCTTGTGCCAAAGGAGATGTCATAGATCCCTATGTTTGTATAGAGATACATGGAATTCCAGCAGACTGTTCAGAACAAAGAACTAAAACTGTCCAACAGAACAGTGATAACCCTATTTTTGATGAAACTTTTGAGTTTCAAGTAAACCTACCTGAGCTGGCCATGATTCGTTTTGTTGTTCTGGATGATGACTACATTGGGGATGAGTTTATAGGACAATATACAATACCGTTTGAATGTTTGCAGCCTGGATATCGGCATGTTCCCCTGCGCTCTTTTGTGGGTGACATCATGGAGCATGTAACCCTTTTTGTCCACATAGCAATAACTAATCGAAGTGGAGGAGGAAAGGCACAGAAGCGCAGCCTGTCAGTGAGAATGGGGAAGAAAGTTCGAGAATATACCATGGTCAGGAATATCGGCCTTAAGACCATAGATGACATCTTTAAAATAGCAGTTCATCCCTTACGAGAAGCCATAGATATGAGAGAAAATATGCAGGTAGGAAAAGTCCCAAGCTCTTCTTCCCTACCCCTACTTCTTCCTACCTCTCCCTTACTGGTGAACACTGTGTTTTACTAGTGATCTGATTCCTCAAAAAATTATCAGAAAAGTTGTATAAACCCATGTACCACTGAATTAAGTATTGCCTGCGATAAAGCAGATATATTTTATGTACCTAATTGTGAATGAATGCTGTGTTAAATTTGGCCTGAACTAAACCAGTTAATATAAATGCTTTATGGATCCATTAAATATCCCTGCCACATAACCAATATGGGGTTGTGTATATGAAACAATGTAAACAAAATGGAATATAAAATATTATATGTATGTGCAATATATATTATATATACAGACAATACTAATTATAAGTATATATGTTAAATATTTGCAGATATGAACATGAAAGGGAATTTGAACTCATAGAAACAAATGTAATGCCTATTAGGTTATTTTAGTTGTTTAAGTGTATGACAACAACAATAATAAATTACTGCCCACAAGAGCAAACACAACTAAACAAACAATAGTCAGCATTTGAACTTGTTGAAAACTATGTAGTCTTCTCTTAGAAAAGTGGTTTAATTGAAAGAACCTGAATTCTGGCTTAAATTCTATCCCCTTGTGATCTTGAGCAAATTATTTCAGATCTCTGATCATCAGTTTTCTCCACATAAGGTAAGAAAAATAGTAATACATCACAGAATTATTATCAGAATTAAATGACAATGTATATAAATTGCCCACTCCTGGCATGTGGAAATTCAACGTTAGTTTCTTTTCCTTCATTAATTCTTGTAATCATAGATGTTTGCCAATTTCTTTCTTGACTGCTATAGAATATATCTATTCTAGGGTCATGTTACTGAGAAACAACCAAACAACAAATACTAAGTTCCTGCAATGTGCAAAGAGGTGTTGGTCGGCAGAAGAAGTAGCAGTCTGAGAACAAAACAAGAGAGGAATATTTTTCAATGCAGTTTATTTGCTCCTTTAGCTAACATTTTAATAGTAATTCTCACCAAACAGTCCCTACTTTCAAGATAGGAAACAAGCTTGAAGAAGTTAAGTGATTTCCCAAATATTGGAGTTAGTAAATAGGAATGTTGGACTTTAAATCCAGAATGGCCTACTACTACCAAAACTCATGATCATTCATGGTTTTTAGTCATGTGATGCTGAATCTCAAACCCATCATTTGGTGAAGACTTTACTTTTACATTATTTCACAGACAAATTCCAGAAAAGACTTAAAATCAATTTTAAATAGCTGAAGTGGTGGAACAGTATGGTACGTAAATCACACATAAATACTTAGATTGTAAGCATTTTATTTGAAGTGGTTGCCTTAGCCACTATTTCAAAAATAGGTTCCAAATATTACCATTTTCTATCTGACTTTTTCTGACATAATTCAAAACTATTATAAATCCCTGTATTAGATTACTTGTACATCATTTCCACATCTTACTTTACATATTAGAAATCAATTTTATTTATTTCTATGTAATTCTTGAAATATATCCTTTACACATACTATGTTTTTAAAATGCATCGTAAGGAGAGTTGGTTATGGATAAAGCTTTTTCCAGGTAATACTGATAATTTATATCACCTTAACATAAAGTCTTTTGGGTTAAGGATTATTTGGAGCCTAATCAGTAGAAAAATGAAATACCATCATTGTTGCTAAATTCATTCGACATATAATAGGTTAGGTACTGCTTGCTGTTAATAAAACATGAAATAGTTATAATTTCTATTTCAAATGAATTTTAAAAGCCTGTAAAACATGGACAAATGTAGCTCTACATGAAATTTGTTTTAGTATGTGCATCTGTCAGGTGCATTTCTGATGGGATGACAAAGAAATACAATTGATGGTTAGTCGAATGCACATCGGTGAGTAATTGCAGCCTGCTACCTTGAGGGGAAAAGCCCAGAGGAGATGTACGCCAATATATAATCACTGGCATGTTTTTATGATCATCATGATACAAATCGAATAAGATATTCACAACCAGCCAAGGCTAATTTGTGTGAATATTCCAATGCTCTGCTTTGAAAAGCACTGTGTAGCCTTGGTTCACAATCAGCTTTGCTTTAATGGCATTTTTGTGGCAGTTGCTAAAAATTGACAAAGATGAAGTATAATAGTGAATTAGTTCTGTGTGCTTTCTTGGTGCACGTTACACTTCTGGTTGATTATAATTCAGTTTCCTCCAAATTACATATGTATCGGACGGTATACTTTTAATGAATATACTTTTGTGTAAATCTAGAAGTGCTGGGGGTGATGTGTCATGTGGCTAGAAGTCTAATTGCATGTTTGCTTCCCCACAGAATGCCATAGTGTCTATTAAGGAACTGTGTGGACTTCCTCCAATTGCCAGTCTGAAACAGTGCCTGTTGACCCTGTCCTCTCGACTCATCACCAGTGATAATACTCCTTCAGTCTCTCTTGTGATGAAAGACAACTTTCCTTATCTGGAGCCTCTGGGGGCAATTCCAGATGTGCAGAAAAAAATGCTGGCTGCTTATGATCTGGTAGGAAATTGTGACTCTAGATTTCTTATCTGTGTGTGTGTGTGTGTTGTGGGGGTAGGGGAAGTCATCTGGCAGGGACTCTTTTGTGGAACTCTAATGAATAAATCACATTGGGAGTAGCAGGCAGAGCCGGCCCGCTCAGCTTCCCTTAAGGCCCAGTGAAGACTTCTGGGGCAATGCTTTGAACCCAGAGCCCCACAAATTACAAACAGAAATTCTCTGCATTAGTAAGGAATGAATTATTAAGTCTTCAAAAATATACACAACTTCTCATCATCTAAATGACTTTGGCTTGCAACATAACCATTTAATTGTGTACCTGTAAGAAATGAACGTATGCTTCTCAGTGCTGCCTTATGATATTTGTGACAAAATATTTCTCTGGAATTTATATTTCTTTTTGTTTTTAAGATTTTATTTTTTTTTGAGAGCGAGAGAGAGAGAGAGCACAGAGCACAAGTAGGGGGAGGGGCAGAGGCAGGGGGAGAAGCAGACTCCCTGCTGAGCAGGGAGCCAGATGCAGGGGCTCTATCCTAGGACCTCGGGTATTATGACCTGAACCAAAGGCAGACCCTTAACCGACTGAGCCACCCAGGCGCCACTGGAATTTGTATTTCTAAGCTAATACTGTTAAATGATTTTTCTGAATGTATAATATAATTTATGTAGTAATTAAGTTTAAGAATAATTATATTTTTGCCTCTTAATTCCATAAAAAATTAAGGAGCAAATGAAAATCTGGAAAAATTTGTAACATATATACCAGATAAAGTGTAACTATCCTTAAAATAGAAAGTGCACTTAAAAATCAGTAAGAAGGGCCACCTGGGTGGCTCAGTCGGTTAAGCAGCTGACTCCTGATTGTGGCTCAGGTCATTATCTCAGGGTCCTGGAATGGAGCCCACTGGGGAGTCTACTTCAGGATTCTCTCTCTCCCTCTGCCCTTCCCCTGCTTGTTCACTCTCTCTCTAAACTAAATAAATTGTTGATGAAAAAGAAATCAGTAAGAAAAAATATGGAGAAAAAAATCTTACATCAATTAGGTCTAAGTACAGCTTGATAAGACAAACAGTGCAACACAATCATGGCTTAAAAATAGTTTTACTCTTTCATATAAAAATCTGGAGACCAACCTTCCAAGATGGAACTTCTGTAAAGTTCTTAGGAACCTAGGCTCCCTCTAGTTTTCTGCTCTACCATCCCTATAGTGTGACCCTTATCCTTATGGTCCAAAATGGCTGCTGAAGCTCCAACCATAACATATGCATTCAACCATCAAGAATGATGAAGAGAAAAAGAGGGCATATCTTTTGCCTTTAAGGACATTTCTCCAAAATAGCATAGATCATTTTTGCTTATATTTCATCAGCCTAGAATTAATACATAGCTACACTTAGCCACAAAGGAGAATGGGAAATGTCTTTATTTCAAGGGGCTATGTGCCCAACTAAAAGTTATCTCTTCTGTTACTAAGAAATAGAGAGAGGAGAGTTATTAGGGGATAACAAATATTCTTTGCTTCAGAGGTGAACAGGAAATTCATGTCTCTCTTCCCCCCTAAAAAAATGAAAATCTAAAAACATATTTAACCTTAAAATAAGTTTTTAATTAAAGATATTAAAGAAATGTAGTAAAATATTCCCTCTCTCATTGGCACTAAAAAATAGTACCTCTGATAGAGAATTTAAGGTAATGGATACTCTCATCCATTTACCTCTACTAGGAAAATAAACTGGCATAATTTGGGGGGAGATAAATTTGGCAATATAATTTAAAATGTTTTTCCCACTTGATTTATACATTTGTTTTCTGAATTTGTTAGGCAATAGTGATGTACATAAACATTTATGTTTAATGTCAACATAGAACTATTAGTTAAATAAAATATAGTAAACCAATATTATAGACTCTTTTGAAGCCATTAAAATCATGCATTAGAAGAATATTTAATGGTATGGAAAACTTCTCATAACATATTTTGTGAAAAAGTCCAGCTACAAAAAAAATATACACTATAGGATTTAAATTGTATTTATATGTATACACATCACACATCTAAACTGTTAGCAGAATATTAATAGTGATTACTTTTAAGTAAGGAGAATGAACTTTACTTTCTTGTTTATGCCTTTCTACTTTTTATTCTCTATTTGCAAAACTCTTTACAATGAACCCAACTAATTTTCATAGTTGAATAAAAAAATAAATCTTAAGCAAGAAAAGAATAATATTTTATCCTTAAAAAAACAACTAGAGGAAAGACATTTGGGATAAACACCCTACAATTGAAAAAAAAAAACCCATAGAATGCATTCTGCTTCTGAATGATCACACCCCTTATAAACTGTACTCCATGGTTGCTGGGGGAAAAGTTCACCTATTACCTATATCTCATTTTTCATGAAATCAATTTTTTCATCATAAAGGTAGGGACTGAAAGCTATTCAGTGAATAGGTATAATTGCCATCTAAGAGGTGAAATTAGGGTACTAGTTGCCATAGATACAGACAGTTGAAATCACTTATTCTTCCAATTCTCTGTGAAGCTAAGAAAGAAAAATCATTCCTTGGGAGGGGAGGCTGGTCCCCTGGAGCTGGGCTTGGAATAAACAGAAGAGTACCTGGTGCACCTGGACTGTGTTTGGCCAATTTCCATTTCACATCCCCAAGTGTCCGATGCTGTTTTGTTTTTTCATTTCTATCTGCTGGAGCCAAATCTGGACATCAGCCTTTTCTCATTTGTATTTTTAAAATGCAGTTTGTAATTACAGGCATAGCATGGTTTTCCCAAACTTAAGTAAAAGGCTACAGTAGAAAGCAGAAGTACTTAAAATGAGATCTTCATTTATAGTTCCCTACAGAAATGATTTTTCATATTGGTCGGGAACTGAGTATAAATATCCCTATGCCAAATGGTAAACTCGGCAGACCTTGCAAGTGATTGAAAACTCTTTTGACAGCTCTGTTGGCTTATTTCTTTTAGTGGGGAAGTGAGTAGGAACTTATACAAGTAATGATGATATTGACCTGAATGTAAAAACATCATTTTTACTTTCGAGGATTTGCATTGTATTGGTTGGCATCTTCAATGCTCTTGTTATATCAGTGTTAATATTTATTTTAAAGAAGACTTCTAAGATATTCTGCAGATCGAGTAATTATTTTATTTTATTTATTATTTATTTATTTTTAAAGATTTTATTTATTTATTTGACAGAGAGGGACAGAGATAACAAGAGAGAGCATGAGTAGGGAGGAGAGGGAGAAAGGCTCCTGGCTGAGCAGGGAGCTGGAGGATTTGAGGATTTGAGGCTTGATCCCAGGACTCTGGGATCATGACCTGGGCCGAAGGCAAACGCTTAACCCAATGAGCTACCCAGGTGCCCCTCGAGAAATCATTTAAGAAAAAAAATTGGATCAAGCAGGATTTTCCTGCTTAAAATCCTACAGTGGCTTCCCATTAAAATAAAATGGAACCTCCTTACTGTGGTCTATGGGGCCATTTATGATCTGGCCTTGCGTACCTATATACCTATCTCACTTACCTCTCCCAGCCTCACCCCCACTCCTGTTCACTACCCGCAACCCCCCCGCCCACTGCTAACCAGCCACATGGACTTTCTTTCTTTCTTCAACTAGACCAAGTTTGTTCCCATCTCTGGGTTATTTTATTTGTGGTTTCCTCTGCCTGAAATGTTCTGTTGCATGAATGGTTGCTTCTTATCTCTTAATTCTTAGCTCAAATATCATATCCTCAGAGACATCTTCCCTAACCACTGTCCCCACCCGTCACTCTACCACATAACCTTGTTTTATTTCCATCACCCTACTTAGCAGTGTTGAAAAATATTTTGCTTGGCTTTCTGTTTAATTTCTATCTTCCTTTCCCCTTCAATTTAAATGTATACTCTATGAGGGCATAGACCCTGTCTGTCTTGCTTACTACTGTTATCTCTCGCATCTAAAACAGTGCTGGCATGTACTGTTACCAGTGAATGTTAGTTGAATAAAAAGTAAATAGAAGCATTAATTGTTGGTGAAAATAGTGTAGATCCGGTGCCATAACTGATGTGTTTATGGTAAATCTTTAAATCTCCTTTGTTTTACCTCTATGACCCCATGCTAACCAAACTGTTCCTTGTCTTAAACATACAGTTAAAAACTCTATAGACTGAGGCAAAACTATGGAGACAGTAAAAAGATCAAGGGGCCAGAGCTGGGGAACAGTGTAGGGGGAGGGAGGGAGGGATGAATAGGAGGAGCACAGAGGATTTTTAGGACACTGAAACTATTCTATATGATCCTGTAATAGTGAATACATGGCATTATGCATTTGTCAAAGCCCGTAGAATATATAATACAAAGAGTTAACCCTAATGTAAACTCTGGACTTTAGCTAATAGTACTATATCAATATTGGCTCATCAATTGTAATAAATATACCACGCTAAAGGAAGATGTTAATAGTAGGAAAACTGGGGATGGGCTTAGAGGGTTTACGGGAATTCTCTGTACTTTCAGCTCAGAGAGCTAAGACTTCTCATAAAAATAAAGTCTAAAAAAATTCCTTGCAGACTATTAATGATAAAAAAAAATATTTGGGTGACTAAGGCAGAAAACAAATCCAGGGTAATGGTGGTAGTAGGGGGGGCAGGTACAGTTTGAATGTTCAACTCAAATCACTTAAATATTTGGATTCCTCAAAAATGGTAATGAACTGTATAGATGCCAACCAAGACGAAAAGTCGTAACCACTAAAAAAATACAGAATACATTTAGAATAAAAAAAAAGACCTGAAGTCATTTCCAAACAGATAAAAATTTGGCTTATTTCAGTATCAAAAGAAACAAATCAGGCAACTAGTAACCTCCATTTACTGAAAGCCAACTTGAGTGTATCCAACAATACTACTTATCAACAGGAAATAAAGTGAAAATATTTTAGAAAACATTGACCCTGAGTTCATCTGCACAGATTTTTTTCTAAACCTGGCTTTTCC